ATCCATCCATCCATCCATCCATCCATCCATCCATCCATCCATCCATCCATCCTCCACTATAATCCCAAAGGACTCTTGGTGGTTTACAGGAGCACAATTCAAACATTCACAGTCAGCATTAAAATAATAATACAACCCCCCTCCCCCAAACATAGAAAATAAACTAAGTGCCTTCCAGAAGAGCTTCATTTTCAGCTGCTTCCAGAAGGCAGTTCATGTAGGAACTAACCTTACTTCTATCAGGAGGCCATTCCAGAAGGCTGGCACTGCTACTGAAATGGGCATGAAATCCTCTTGCCCCAGGCTGGGGTGCAACTGATGTCCCAGCTGAAGCTGGGCCAAAGGCCCACATGGCCGCAGCTTCCACCTGCTGCTCCAACAGGAGCTGCAAATCCAGAGGGATCCCCAAGTCATGAACCTGCTCCTTCATGGGCATTGCTCCCCTATCCAGTGACACCACTAAAACGTCAGAGAACTCCAATGGACAAACAGTTACCCCATCTTGCTAATATTTAGCCTGTTCTTTCCCATCCAGATGCTCAGAGCTTCCAGGCACTGGGAAAACATCACCAGCATGGCCCAAGATAGTGATGTAAACCCGCGTATCATCAACATACTGATGGTACCAAATACCAAACATTGGATGACTCTCTCAGTGGCTTCATGTAGATATTAAAAGTGGGGGTGGGGAAGGAAGAGGACTGAGCTCTGTGAGAACCCAGAAGTAAGCAGTCACTGAATCAACCTCTCCACCCCCACCAATTAAAACCATCCACTGAGGAAGGAATAGAACCACTGCAGAACAGTGCATCCGTTACCAAGCCCCAAAGTTGATCCGGAAGAATACCATAGCTTAGGGTGTCAAAGACCGCTGAGAGATGTAAAGGAATCACGACAGGTGCATTACTGCCCTCCAGGTCCTGACAAAGGCCATCTACTAGCATGACTATATCCAGGCTTGGACCTAACTGCCAATATGCACACAGAGTATTCTTCCCCCTTTCTTTTTCACTGCTAATCTATTTTATTTAATGGTTGATAGAAAAAGCTTTTATAGCAATAGCCTCACATACTTGCCCAAATTATTACTGGTATTATCTATATATGTTTTTAAAAGCATTCTTAAATTGAAATACAGATTGAAGTATGCTTTTTCATGTGCTCAAACGAATTAACTCCATATATTATCTTTTAGTTGGGTGGCACTATTGGAGATATTGAAGGAATGCCCTTTGTAGAAGCTTTCCGACAGTTTCAGTTTAAGGCCAAAAGAGAGAACTTTTGCAATATCCATGTCAGCTTAGTACCACAGGTAAACATTTCTCATTATGTGTTATTGCTTTACACATGTTAAGTTTGATAAAAATTCAGGGATTTTTAAAGGAGTGAATGAAACTGCAGGTGTATGTTCTTAGATATACTCTTTTTATTATTGCTTATTCATTGCCAAAAGAACATTTTATGCTGAGTGGTTCTAGGAAAGATTTTAAAAACTCATGTTGTATTTATTTCAACCAATGAATAAACATTTGAAGGCTTTCATTATGTTTATATGGGACACTTAATTAGATCAAACACTAACCCTAACAAAGCACATGTATTTATGCAAATGATAAACTTGATTACTATAAACTTTGATTAGGCTTTTTTGTGCCTTAATATGTTTTGTAAATCCAGCCTGTTTCGTTAGTGTGTAATTCAGTGCATTGTGTGACACTCCCCCCCTCCCCAAATGGGTCAATTCAGTGCTCAGGGAAGCGTGTTGTTTAAATGCAAACTTTGTCTTCAAAACAATTTAAAATTATCATTTAATTGAAAGGAATCCATTTAAGGATGATGCATTTTAAAGATAGGTGTTAGGAAGCATTGAACGTTGAACGTGTTATAGAGAAATTATATAAAAATCTATGGCCACTTTTTCTAATCTGGTACCCTCCATCCATGTTGGAATTGCAACTCCCAAAATTCCCCAGTAGGATGTCCAAAGCTATCTCATAACATCAGTTTGGATTTTAGGCTCTTTAAATAGATAGTGGAATTTACATGCCTTTCTCTTACTGGAAATTTCCGCTTATAAAATATTAAACCAACTTACTGAACCATTGAAACAGCTGCTCTGGTGAATTCCATTAACATTTAAAGGATTCATTCATCCATTCATTCAATTTTTATCCTAGCTTTTCCACACACGCCACAAGTCTGTTAATGGCACACACAGAAAGAACATAATAAAACGGAATGTAGGTTTTTCATAGCTACTATTTACTGATAAAATGACTTCTGGATAATACTCTGTGAGACAATAAATATGTGCTGGAGTTACATTAGTCAGCGGTTGGTTTCTTCAGTGGAGATTTAAAACTGACCTTAGCATTAAATGTCCAGTCTGTATATATTGGCTGTGCTTATGGAGCAGAATGCCCACCGCCAGCTGCCGACCACCACGTTGCACATGGCGTTATCCAAAAGTTATTCCGCCAACAGAATATATTTTTGATTTTTTGTCAAACCTCAATTCAATATGAAAACATTAAAGAAGAATGAATGACCACCAGAACAGGGAAGGGGAAACAAATTGGAAAGTAAATGGGAAATGTAGGTTTCAGTTCAATAATCACGCCGCAAAATCTGCTGTGAATTTGAACCATGGTTAGTGCAGATATGGTAGGGTAGTTAACCCCGGTTATTGAATGATAAAACAAAATAATAGTAAAAACTTTTTAATGGACCGATATGGATCCCGAATGCCTATTAAATAGGAAAGTATGTCATTGTGGTAATTTATGTCATTTGCATAACTTTATGTCATTTGTATATTGTTGCCGCAGCAAATTGCTGTGGATATTGTAAAATTAAGGAAAAATCAATGTAAATTTAACTAGAGTACCATATTTTTCCGACTATAAGACGGTACTTTTTTCTAAAATCCTTACCCTAAAAATTGAAGGGCGTCTT